AAGCAAAAGGCCAGGATATGCTCTTATTAAGTGTTCTTGCATGGCAAGACCACTTACTGTTATCTCACATATATATTCTTATTATTATAGCCAAATTTACCACCCTAACTCCTCCCCACAGTTTTTACACTACATAGACAGTAATATACCGAAACGTGCGGATTGTTCCCGATTGGTGTGCTATTACTTTGTGGAACGTTTCGGCGAATGGTTTTTCAAAATTTCTGCGTTTTTGTGGTGAAATTGGTCCCATAGGAATGAATGGCAGAATGTTCAAAAAGTAGAGTGGGAGCTGACAAAAGCTAGAGTGTGAGCTGAAAAATCAGGACACGATTTCTAAACTGCCATCACGCCCTCATTTTCAAGCCCACCTACACAAATCGTATATCAAGATGTTCAGCTATCCCTGCTGCCACTAAAAACATCCACGGCTAAGCCATAGTCCTGATAGTTTTCACAATATGACCATTTGTTTGCAACTCACACATTCCATTGACATTCATTGAAACTCCACTCTAGCCACCTCAAATTTGAAGGGCAATTTCTAAACTGCGACTGTGCCTTCATTTTTAATATTTCAGAGACATACTATGCATCAAAATGTAGGTCCGGGTGTTGTGATTCTCTCACAATATAAAGCTCTTCAGTGTAGGATTTATCATTTTTAAACTACAACCATTTGAAGATGGCAACCACCAGTGAAGTGAGCAAGTTAAAGCAGTTTGTTTTTAACCGCTCTTCTCTGCCCTTGCTGTAGAGTGAGTTGCCATGGGAACCCAGGTGTGTGAGCAGGCAGCAGAGTAACAAGCCACTCCACCCATTTACTCCGCCCACTCCAGTTGTAGACTACTAGTGGAGGCAAGAACACTTCACACAATTTCCCCACAAATTGTAGCTTTTCTAGTTTTCAGATGTTCTTTTACCTGTCCACTAGAGGCAGTCGTGTTCCTTGAATGAAGATTTGATTTTCTGATTTAATTAGTATTGCATCAAAGAAATATGTGTCATGGTGAAATATCAAAGTGGCTTTCATAGATATCCTTCTTCATAAAGTCCATTTGTTTGCGTTGGGTTAAACATTGTGAACTATTATTAGATGAGAATTATATCTCTGCGGTTATCAATTATTATGAAAATGGTTGCTGTTAAGGAGAATATTCCTGTAATTCGTCATGGTACTTTATCACATGATGCACATGCGTTATTTCAGTCCCTCATATGATATACCTCATATCTTTTTGCACTCTGATATGTAGGTATGTATTGTTAGTAAATCATTTGTTTTAATATTTTTCAAATGGTCTACCCATAATCACCATCCATAGCATACGTTATTAGAAACTGGCTGATATTTGGTTAATACTTGATGTGATTTTGTAGTTGAAAAAATTGATGCGATTTTATCCTTTGACCATATCAAGAAAAGGAATAATCTATATGTAGGTATGTATATGTCTGTTTAAACCTCCATACATCTGAGTATATTGCTTAGTTAAGGAGTTTTGGCTCTCGCATTTGCATGGAAGAATTTTACAGTCTGTGTAAACACCTAAGGATTGTAAATGGGGCTTGATCTATTCATCCTTGATGCAGAGCCATTGTCTATGTGGCTCATTGGAAAACACTCAGTTGATATCCCAGCAGATATTTGACTCTGTGGACAATGGGTGTAAGGCTCCATCAGGGGCGGACTGACAATTTGGAAACTCGGGCACTGCCCGAGGGCCTGGGGTCAGTAGGGGGCCCCATGAGATTCCCCTGGTACCTTTTTCATAGGCTTTTTTGAGTTTGGGCAAGGACACAGGGGCCCCATGATCCCCTATTGCCCGGGGGCCCCATGAGTTGTCAATCTGCCCCTGGGCTCCATGTACATGGGACACTTCTGAATGATGGAAACTGAGTGCTGGAAAACGTAGGTTAAAAAAACGTCTGTTTAGCCGCGTTTGCATACCGCGTTTATGTGTGTTTGTGTTTAGAAGCGTTTTTTAAAGATAACCTCAGGAGACCTTCCAAAATGCCCAGAATGCACTGAAAAACAGAAAAAGATTAACTATTTCAAACATTTTGAGAGAAATAGAGAGAGCAGAAGCAGAGAGAGTAGTATGTGTTGAGATTAGCTGTCTGGGTTTTTTTTTTAGGTGTTTGGATGTGTTCCAGCTCATTTCTGTGCAGAAATTATTGCAACAGTGTCTAACATATTTTCTTTCATGCGAAACCTCAAAGTATTGTGTCCATTTGAGTACCGGGAAAAATGCTTTGCATGCATTTTTCATGATGAAAAAAGGCTCTAGACAGCATCTGGAAATAGAAGAGTTAAAAAAAAATTACAAACGCAAACGCTTATAAGTGCGGTTAGCCGCATTTACAAGCGTTTGGCTTTGAAACTCTGATAAAATCTACTCCTGAACAAAGTTTGGTGCGTTCAAAAAACGACTGTAAACTCAACTGCCTGTAAACGACGATGTGTACATGGACACATAGGAAAACATTAGGGAAAGTTTAGGGGCTGCTGAAAAAAATGCAGAAAAGCTCCTAAATGTGAGTTTATCAGCTGCAGTGTACATGGAGCCTAAAAGTTCCCAACATTTTGCCTCCTGTTTAACAATTGTAAAATGTATTGGAAGCTTTAAAACTTGGTTATTAAGGTTGTTTGGGGACAACCATCCTCAAGGTCTCTCATTGTCTTTACGTTTTATTTCTCTTACAATCCAGGTACATATATGATGTGTCTTCACAATGAACATTTATGACATCTGGAAGTCTTCTGGTCAATACTGGCCAGTTTATTCCTGATCAGGGTTGTGTGAAACCATTGCGTTTTTTTTAAATCAATTCTGAGAGTTGAATAGGACATTTAGACTCGGTCAACATAGCATGTGGTTAACATTACCTTGTCCTTGTGTGGCCACCTGGTTGGTCAACAATTTTTAGCATCTCTTGTTTAACCACTTCCCATCGGTTCATGTACAGTGGAGATCGAAAGTTTGGGCACCCCAGCTAAAAATTTGTATTAATGTGCATAAAGAAGCCAAGGAAAGATGGAAAAATCTCCAAAAGGCATCAAATTACAGATTAGACATTCTTATAATATGTCAACAAAAGTTAGATTTTATTGCCATAATTTACACTTTAAAAATAACAGAAAACAAAAAAAAATGGCGTCTGCAAAAGTTTGGGCACCCTGCAGAATTTATAGCATGCACTGCCCCCTTTGCAAAGCTGAGACCTGCCAGTGTCATGGATTGTTCTCAATCATCATCTGGGAAGACCAGGTGATGTCAATCTCAAAGGTTTTAAATGCCCAGACTCATCTGACCTTGCCCCAACAATCAGCACCATGGGTTCTTCTAAGCAGTTGTCTAGAAAACTGAAACTGAAAATAGTTGACGCTCACAAAGGCTATAAGAAGATAGCAAAGCGTTTTCAGATGTCAATATCCTCTGTTCGGAATGTAATTAAGAAATGGCAGTCATCAGGAACAGTGGAAGTTAAAGCAAGATCTGGAAGACCAAGAAAAATATCAGACAGAACAACTCGCAGGATTGTGAGAAAAACAATTCAAAACCCACGTTTGACTGCACGATCCCTCCAGAAAGATCTGGCAGACACTGGAGTTGTGGTACACTATTCCACTATAAAGAGATACTTGTACAAATATGGTCTTCATGGAAGAGTCATCAGAAGAAAACCTCTTCTACGTCCTCACCACATAAATCATCGTTTGAACTTTGCAAATGAATATATAGACAAGCCTGATGCATTTTGGAAACAAGTTCTGTGGACCGATGAGGTTAAAATTGAACTTTTTGGCCGGAATGAGCAAAGGTACGTTTGGAGAAGAAGGGGCACAGAATTGAATGAAAAGAACCTCTGTCCAACTGTTAAGCATGGGGTTGGATCAATCATGCTTTGGGGTTGTGTTGCAGCCAGTGGCACAGGGAACATCTCACGAGTAGAAGGAAAAATGGATTCAATAAAATTCAATAAAATTTCAGCAAATTTTGGATGGTAACTTGATGCCATCTGTGAAAAAGCTAAGTTAAAGAGAGGATGGCTTCTACAAAAATGGATAATGATCCTAAACACACCTCAAAATCCACGGGGGATTACATCAAGAGGCGTAAACTAAAGGTTTTGCCATGGCCTTCACAATCTCCTGACCTCAACATAATTGAAAATCTATGGATAGACCTTAAAAGAGCAGTGCGTGACAGACAGCCCAGAAATCTCAAAGAACTGGAAAACTTTTGTAAGGAAGAATGGGCAAAGATACCTCAAACAAGAATTGAAAGACTCTTGGCTGGCTACAAAAAGCGTTTACAAGCTGTGATACTTGCCAAAGGGGGCAGTACAAGATATTAACTCTGCAGGGTGCCCAAACTTTTGCAGACGCCATTTTTTTGTTTTCTGTTATTTTCAAAAGTGTAAATGATGGAAATAAAATCTAACTTTTGTTGACATATTATAAGAATGTCTAATCTGTAATTTGATGCCTTTTGGAGATTTTTCCATCTTTCCTTGGCTTCTTTATGCACATTAATACAAATTTTTAGCTGGGGTGCCCAAACTTTCGATCCCCACTGTACATAAATGGCTGGGCGGAAGCAGTGCAGGAGTGGGTGGCCTTTTATAAATGTCCTCCCCGCTCCCTGCCTGTGCACGCTCCCTGGGAGCACGCAGCACCACGATCCGGAGCTCACTGTACTGTACTCTGTGTGAGGTCCCGATCATGTGATCACTGATTGGCCAATCAGTAATCACATGAATAGTAGTAAGCAGGGGTGGACTGACAACTCATGGGGCCCCCTACTGACCCCCCAAAAAAGCCTATGAAAAAGCCAATGAAAGGTACCAGGGGCATCTCATGGGGCCCCCTACTGACCCCGGGCCCTCGGGCAGTGCTCGAGCGCTCGAATGGTCAGTCTGCCCCTGTTAGTAAGCAAGATGTCACTTCTGACATCATTGCTTACTACTTGTGAAATCTGTGAATGATCACAGAGGTCATATGGTACAAGACTATTCACAACAGCCTTGTACCATGTAACAAGTTCTGACCAATCACAGTTCTCACAGTATTTCTCAATGGCTGCAGGAATGCTGCCAGAGAGAAGGAGAAATGTTTGCTTTTACAGTCTTTATGAGTGTAAAAGCAATCAGTTTAAAAAAAAAAATCTTCACCCCCCCACAAGTACTACAGTGTCACTATGGTGACTGTACTGCTAGGGTGACAGTATGTTAAAAAACAAAACAAAATAAATATATAAAAAAAAAAGATAAAATAAAAATGTAAAAACATTTTTTTGAAAAATTATAATTTTTGGTTATAAACTAATTTGGGTTATTATTTTTTTTACTAAAAAGGTAGCTGAATACATGTTGGCCAAGATTTATGAAGAAAGATTGTTTATTTGCAAAATTTTATAAGAAAAACACTTTTTTTTCAAAATGTTTGGACGTTTTCATTTATATAGCAAAAAAATAAAAATCCCAGCGGTGAATAAATACCACCAAAATAAAGTTTTATCTGTCTCAAAAAATGGTAAAAAATTCATACGGGTACAGTGTTTCATGACCACGCAATTGTTATTCAAAGTGTGATAGCACTGAAAGCTGAAAATTGGACTGGGCAGGAAGGCGATGAAAGTGTCCGGACTTGAAGTGGTTAAATGGTCTATTGTTAAAGGAGGCCTGGGAGAATATCTGAGAATATCTGTGTATTTGAAGTGTCTCATTGAGTTATATTCTGACATAATTTATGAATTTTTGTGTATCAGAGCCATAACACCTGGGACCCAGCCAGCATCTCTAACATGGACAATTCTTGATTGATTGATCTCCAGTCAGAGGGTACCCACATAGATTCTGTGATAAAATTTTATGGCAGAGTCGGTGATGGGACCAACAGTGTCTCCTGTTCCAGGAAAGTAACTACCGACATTAATGCTTGTGCTTCAGCCAAGTCTTCCTCCCACTGAACACCAATTTAAGAAGGGGGGGGGTTGGCTTTTTTTTCTCCCATTGACTGTTACTGTAAAGGGGAAGCGGGTTCTCACAATTACCACCAATTTAAGGTGCTACTAATCACCAATGAAGGGGAGCACCGCTCCACTGACCACCAATGTAAGGAGGTATTTACATTGACCACCATCTCTTAGATTGTAAGCTCTAACAAGCAGGGCCCTCTGAATGCTCCTGTATTAATTTGTATTGTAATTGTGCTGTCTGCTTTTATGTTTTAAAGTGCTGCATAAACCGTTGGCGCTATATAAATCCTGCATAATAACAATAATAATAATGTAAGGGGATATTTACACTGACTCCAGTGTAAGGTGGTATTTACACTGACCATCAATGTAAAGGGGTATTTACACTGACCACCAATATAAGGGGGTATTTTCAATGATCACCAATGTAAGGGGGTATTTACACTGGCCACCAATGTAAAGGGGTATTTACACTGACCACCAATGTAATGGGGTATTTACAATGATCACCAACGTAAGGGGGTATTTATACTGACCATCAATGTTAGGGAGTATTTACACTGATAACTAATGTAATGGCACCATTTTTGTTGACCATCATTATGAAAAGAGGTGTTATCAGTATCCACCAGTATACATGAGATAATATTAAATGGGGCTGTCCAATGTTCATCAGTGTAAAAGAGATGAAAATGGAAGGGGTATGTGTATCATAGAACACTGGTTAATGTGGGGGGGAATAGCTAGCAATATAGGCTGCAGGCCAAGCAGTAAAAGCTAAAAAAAAAACTCCTGATCTCCCTACATACCCTGATTAACCCCCCCCCCCCTTTTTTTTTGCAGCTTGCTGAGAAATATGGCTCTGTGTACAGCCTACAGATAGGACCTCAGAAGATGGTTGTGTTGTGTGGCTATGAGACAGTGAGAGATGCGCTGGTCAACCATGCTGAGGAGTTTTCTGAAAGACCACATGTGCCAGTTTTTATGGACGTAACCAAAGGACACGGTATGTAAGTAGCACTACCCCCTTAAGGGTTGCTTAGTAATTTTTGGGTTCCATGTCAATCTGAACCTATTGTTGAAAGCCCAATCTCTGTTGACACCACCGTGCTCCGGTGTCCAAAGTAAATCACAACTGTAAAATGGACTCACACACAAGTTAGGATAAACAAATACGCGCACTCTCCTGGCCAATCTCCTGGGCTTTGATATTTATATGTCCCCACTGTCAGGGATCTCCTCGATCCCTGCCGCGATGGTCCCGGCGCAGGCGCAGTGCACCGCCCTGTGCAGGGACACGGGCACTAGGTCCGGGCCGGCCGCGGCGTTCGAGTTCGCGCATGCGTAGTAGAGAAGCCGCGGCCGCCCGCTGGGCACCAATGGCAGCGCAGGGCGGGATATTTAAATGGCCCTGAGCTGTCATTCAGTGCCTTCTGGTCTTCCCTGCATCCTGTGAACCTGTGAACCTGTACCCTTTGTAAGTTTTGACCCGGATTATACCTGACCTTGCTGCTTTCTCCTGTTCTGACCCTTGCTTTGCCTGACCTCTCTCCTGAATGCCCCTGATTGGATTTGACCTGCTGTTGCTGACCTGGCGTGTGACCCGACCATTCTATGCCCGCTGCCTTGTACCTTGCCGTCCTCTCTGTTACCGACCCGGCCCGTCTGACCTTGCTCATCCATCCATCCATCCCTTGCAGTGGGGTCTTCTGACCTCCTCACATCAGACTCTTCCCCGTGGGAGCCCTTGGCGCATACTACTACCACTGACGGACGCACCCAGTAGTCACGACCTGGTCTCGGGGAGCTCCAAGTCCATCCCCACCATCAGGGGCCCTGGTGAACAAGCACCCTGGGACTTAGATTCCGTGCGCTGGGGACGCCTATTCAGTGGAGTGCTAGTGGTACCGCCAGGCGGTCCCTTACACCCACCCACACGCTACCTCTCTTGGGAAATGTAGTCCCTGACCTTCCTGCTCACCAGCTGAGCCCTGCTTTTCAGCTTACAAGTTCCAGAGAGCTGTTCTGTCCATGCGAGTGACCCTGAATGGCAGACCACCACCATATAATGTCCATTTTATGTACTGCAAGTAATAACAATCGGATATATACATATATATATATATATACTGTATTTATTGTGTTCTATTTTATGACCAGATTAACATAGAAGTATAGCACATACACACCGGTAAGGTTGTGGATCAAAAAGACCGCCAGATTTCAAAAATACATTCCCTGTGTGGTGATAGGACATCCTAGATCATTTTACACCAAGGCTGAGGTCTTAACACACCACAGTTGCTTATCTAAGGTTGGAATACCTCCATTCGTTAATGTGGGCAGGAGTTCAAATGAAGTTTTTGAATAGGTAAAACAGTTATAAAAATGCATAGATATAAGGAATCAACATACAGTAACAGTGGCTTTAGAAGGCTGGATTTCCAACTTGACATGAGAATAGCTCTGTAAATTCTGCCTACAGTGGATTGCACAGAACATAAGTTAAGGTAAACTGTGTAGTTTGCTGACTGTCAGTCTCTGGCTCTCTGGTCTGCCTCTCTAGCGCTAAATGGAGCGCTAGAGGCTAAGCCAGCTGCTGGCCCAGGCATCTGGGTAGATCACATCTTTAAAGTCAGGATCTTTCCAAAGCCTGGACTGGCTGAGCTATATCAGCCTACAGTGCACTTTGACCAAAATAGCTGACTATACTTCTTCTTTAATGCTGTCTATGCAGCCTGACTTCATTACAATAACAAAAATGAAGCTTCAGTTGGACTTTAACCACTCATGTGTTGCTTGGAATTGCCCTTAACTGATAGAATGTATGTGTTATTTTATTATTTCTCTAGGTGTTGTATTTTCTAATGGTAATAACTGGAAAACCATGAGACGTTTCACTCTTTCTACATTGCGAGATTTTGGGATGGGGAAGAGAATAATAGAAGATAAGGTCACTGAAGAGTGCCAACATTTGATAAAAGTGTTTAAATCCTACAAAGGTCAGTAGTAGTGTAGCATGGTTGACAGTTCTGCATTTGTCCTGTTTTGATTTGCATTGAATTACTTAATACAAAGCAGGAGTCTACTGTGAAGCGTATGTGTACAAAATCATATGTTTTTGAGTAGAGTTGAGTTTGAATGCAAAGATAATGTTTGACAAAAACGCATTCACACAAGGAACCCATCAACTGTTCTCACTATCACTATAGATTCTCATATATGTACCCAGGAGATGGGGCTATATTACACCTATTTTTCTGCTCAGATTCTTCAAATATTTTACACATTCATATACTCAGGTAGTGTCTTCCTTTGTTCCCTATTCTTTGGCAGTACCCCATTTTATCTCCCCGGGCCAATCAAAACAACTGACCCATTAGCAGTTCCTTTAATCACCTTTAGCCCTTCTGCAAACCTCTGGTTGGCAGGCAGAAGTCTGCAAGTAGCAGTGTCCACCCAGAGACATCCACCAATCTTTGGCAGGCCACAATATGTTATTAAAACCTTCCAAAGACAAGACAAAAAAAAGTTCAACCCTTCCTTTCTTTGTAACCCCTTTATATTACCTTTTTTGACCTTTGTTGCTTAGAATTATGTTTATTATTACCAAATGTTGAGTTGCTAGTAGTATCTTTGCTTGTATTCCAGGAAAACCATTTGAAAACACCATGATATTGAATTCTGCTTTGGCCAATATCATGGCATCCATATTGTTTGGTCATCGCTTTGACTATGATGATCTGAAACTTCGGAGGCTTTTAACCATAATGAATGATAATATCAGAATTATGGGTTCCCCAATGGTTTTGGTAAGCTTGTTTTTACTGAAATATTTTAGCATGATATAGTTGGTTATCCTTGGCTTGTAAGCTGGCTTGTGGTCCATAAAGCAGGGAGCTCCAGTTATATTCTTACTAGCTCAGTTTCCTTTTAAAGCACCAAGGAATCAAGGAATCCCCAAAACTCTAGCATGATATTAGAAAAGCATCAAACAAATAGCTTTCCGGACTACTACACCCCCCCCTTTTTTCATTAAAGTTTCCAAGGTGGTGTCACTGGCCAATAGGAAGGTGGGAAGAGGTAGGAAACTCATTAACCAAGAAGTTGTGTCAGATCAAGAGAAATGATACAGTGCGGTGTCCATAAATACAGAATACTGAACAATTGAAGTACAACTGTTCATCATAATCTGGCCATGCAATTTTAGACAACATTATTGTGTATACAGAACCCCTGCACAATGACATTCAACTGGAGCAATTATTCTAGAAGGTTATTGTTCTACTACTGCTCAGCTGACTCCATTTTCTGCTTTCTACATTGCCCATTTGCCTGCTATTAATTCTTCAAAGATAGCAAGATCATAATTAATAGCCTGTGATTGGGACATTCATGTGTATAGCATGCAGTAGCGCTTGCCAGCCCACACAAGTTTTACTTAAAATTTTATTTTACTGTGTCCAGAAATCAGCATTGTAAAGTAGTGTACTGACTCCAATTGTTGTAATACTGACTTAGTCACTGACTCTTCTTGAGACTTCTGTCTGGTCTAAATGTGGCAGAAGCAATCACTGCAAACAATATTCATAAGATAGCTGAACTCACCGCACAAAGATTTAAATCAAGGGACTGTAACTGGTTCTTTTGTAGTATACAACAGCTTTGTACTGTTTACATGACATGGTATTCCCATTTGATCTTGGTTTCACGAGTTGTCTTTCAAAACCTTTATCCTTCTGGACTACATTGCATATAAGGGCATTAGCTGCAAGAGGAATATGCCTGGGGCCTACATTTGGCTGGGAGCTTTCTGCATTTGGATGCTGATTAGGTTCCTGCCAAGTACATAAATATTGCTTCAACCTCACAGAGGTGTCCTGCAGACGTTTCTGTAGTAGCATTCATACCTTAAAAAACAGGGACCTTTTAAAGGCAGAGCCATGGGTCACCACCACTGCGATTTGATCAAATATTTGATCAAACAGTTGAATTCTTATCCAGGGAATCCCTACCACAGGGATGGGTAACTTTTTGGCACCCTCCAATACTATCTAAGGAGAGTCCAAAGTCTTCATTTCACACTCCAGGACTGTTGCACATGGACTGCAAGGAACTGATATAGGTCAAATTCAGGTACTTATACTGCATTTAAAAATATCTTTCACAAACCTATAATTTGTTTCTTCTGTTTACAAAATATGGTTACTTATCATCAGGAAACTAACTGTATGTACCTTTTTAGCTGTACAACGCATTTCCATCTCTGGTCCGATGGCTACCTGGGAGTCACAGAGAAGTTAATCCAAACATACAGGAAATGCACACTTTTATCCGAGAAACCTTCACCAAGCAGAGGAAACAACTAGATGTCAATGATCAGAGGAATTTTATTGATGTCTTCCTTGTCAAACAAAAGGAGGTATATGTTTTTTAATACAGAACTTACTTGTTTCGACCTGCTAATATTCAATGAAGTCAGAGGCACCCAAAAACAGCACAAGCAGGATTTTTCTGTGGTTCTATTCAGTAAGGCACTAACCAAACACAGTTACAGTGGGGCAAAAAAGTACAAGTTCTCCCACTTAAAAAAATGAGAGAGGCCTGTAATTGGCATCATAGGTAGACCTCAACTATGAGAGACAAAATGAGAAAAAAAATTCAGACAATCAAATTGGCTGATTTGGAAAGAATTTATTTTGCAAATTATGGTGGGACTTATGGTGGAAAATAAGTATTTGGTCAATATCAAAAGTTCATCTCAATACTTTGTTATATATCCTTTGTTGGCAATGACAGAGGTCAAACGTTTCCTGTAAGTCTTCACAAGGTTGGCACACACTGTTACTGGTATGTTGGCCCATTCCTACATGCAGAGCTCCTCTAGAGCAGTAATGTTTTGGATCTGTCACTGGGCAACACAGACTTTCAACTCCCTCCAAAGGTTTTCTATGGGGTTGAGATCTGGAGACTGGCAAGGCCACTCCAGGACCTTTAAATGCTTCTTAGGAAGCCACTCTTTCTTTGCAGTATATTTGGGATCATTGTCATGCTGGAAGACCCAGCCATGTTTCATCTTCAATGCCCTTGCTGATGGAAGGAGGTTTGCACTCAAAATCTCACAATACATGGCCCCATTCATTCTGTCCTGTACATGGATCAGTCGTCCTGGTCCCTTTGCGGAGAAACAGCCCCAAAGCATGATGTTGCCACCCCCATGCTTCACAGTAGGTATGGTGTTCTTTGGATGCAACTCAGCATTCTCTCTCCTCCAAACACGACGAGTTGTGTTTCTACCAAACAGTTCTATTTTGGTTTCATCTGACCAAATGATATTCTTCCAATCCTCTTCTGGATCATCCAAATGCTCTCTAGCAAACTCCAGACGGGCCCAGATATGTACCGGCTTAAGCAGGGGGACACGTCTGGCACTGCAGGATCTGAATCCCTGGCGGCGTAGTGTGTTACTGATGGTAGCCTTTGTTAGGTTTGTCCCAGCTCTCTGCAGGTCATTCACTAGGTCCCCCCATGTGGTCCTGGGATTTTTGCTCACCGTTCTTGTGATCATTTTGACCCCACGGGGTGAGATCTTGCGTGGAGCCCCAGATCGAGGGAGATTATCAGTGGTCTTGTATGTCTTCCATTTTCTAATTATTGCTCCCACAGTTGATTTGTTCAAGCCAAGCTGCTTGCCTATTGCAGATTCAGTCTTCCAAGCCTGGTGCAGGTCTACAATTTTGTTTCTGGTGTCCTCCGACAGCTCTTTGGTCTTCAGTGGAGTTTGGAGTGTGACTGTTTGAGGTTGTGGACAGGTGTCTTTTATACTGATAACAAGTTCAAACAGGTGCCATTGATACAGGTAATGAGTGCAGGACAGAGAAGCTTCTTAAAGAAGAAGGTACAGGTCTGTGAGAGCCAGAAATCTTGCTTGTTGGTAGGTGACCAAATACTTATTTTCCACCATAATATGCAAATAAATTCTTTCCAAATCAGCCAATGTGATTGTCTGGATTTTTTTTCTCATTTTGTCTCTCATAGTTGAGGTCTACCTATGATGCCAATTACAGGCCTCTCTCATCTTTTTAAGTGGGAGAACTTGCACAATTGGTAGCTGACTAAATATTTTTTTGCCCCACTGTAAATGCAGGAGGGCTTTGTACAGGTCCATAGCATAAATCAAAAACAAATCATCTGCTTGTCTGAGCTATTAATTAGACTTTTTTAAATGATTTCAAGAGGGAACCCCAAGCAAAAAACAAAAAAATTACTTGGGATCACCCAAGACACTTTGTATCTGGTACGGATTTTAGGAAAACCCTGCTAAAAATGACACAGGCCCCTCCTAAATCTACACCAGACATTTAATCTCAGCACGTAGCCTAGGTGACCAGGAAAGGGGAGAGGGGACAGCTTCACTGACGCCCCCCAACCATACCAGGTCACTTGCCCTCTATAGTCAGTAAACAATCCAAAGTTCAGTGACAAGTAGCTGCAGGTTGGGATCAAGCAGACGTGTAGTCCAGGAACAAGCTAAGGTTGGTAACAAAAGGTTGCAACTTGGGACAAAGCGCAAGAGTAGTTGAGAAACAAGCCAGTGTCAGTAAAGAGTAGTAGTGAAAATACAGTGGCAGCAGGAGCAAAAGGGGCAAGATATTTGCCAGAGAGAGCACAATAATCTGGCAAACAGGAAGTGCAAAGGCATGGCTTAAATAGGAAGTTCATGGGAGTAACAAGGAGTTCAAGGTTCACCAAAAAACAAGATAAAAAGTATGTTTGTCCAAGGAATCAGGCAAGGAGCTAAACAGCATCTTAGATGGCTCAGCAAGAAGAGCTAATGCCAGATACAGCATAGATCACAGGTTTAGAACCCTGTCCTGACAGACTGGTGATATCACTGGCTGTTAAGGACTTGACAGTGCCTGCACCTACTGGTGTCTTGAAATCCATTGACAGCAGGAAACTGTCATGTATAATTGCGGTAGTGAGGCAAGTATATGCTTGATCCATTTTGTGCATTTGTGCTTCCTACACCTGTCCTGCTGTTTCTAAAAATTCCCCCATCAATCATTAGGGGGCAGCTCTGACTTGAGGATGCAAAGCTATGGCTCTAGCTACATAGCCACTTCCACACAAAGACATGGTGCAGAACAAGGCATGGTGAGTCAGTAATGGGGAAAAGATCAGTTTTGTGACTAGTTATTTTCTCTTAGTTTAGGTATTCTTTAACAACATGGGTAGTTACTGGCCGCAATTTGTTTTTCATTAACAGTAAAAAATACATGCATCACTCATAACCTTATAAACACATTGTTACAATATTCTGACATGATGTCAGAGGTGATCCTTCTATGAGGATAGTTTTGGACCACAATGATTGTGAGTCTGTAGGCCCTAGTGATGGAAATCTAGCCCTGCATATAAGAGCTAAAGCAAATATGGTACACTCTGAATTGTATGAATTTCAGGAAAAGCCAAACCCAGAGTTATACTTCAATGATACTAATCTAACTGTTCTGGTGGCGGACTTGTACACAGCTGGAATGGAGTCAACATCCACCACTCTCCGATGGGGACTCCTGCTGATGATGAAATACCCAAAAATACAAAGTAAGTCATTTATTTTGTGCGCTCTTTTCTTTGAGCATCACCTACTGTTTAGCCCATATGACTTGGTTGAAAGTAATTTGTCTATGAAGCATGCTATCTAATAATTAATATGAAGCCCTACTGCCATTGCTGGCAATTCTAGAGCTTTGACTTTTAAACACAAGTCAGGAGGACAGCTTCCATACTTTTATCTGGCAGGTAGCTGGTAAAGTCAACTACAAGAGACAGAAGAATCAATTTATGGCAAATAATTATTTGTCCACTAAAACACTGCTGAAATTGCTTTGTCTTTTAACTAACAAGTGTCACGATCGCGGCTGTGAGGGAATGCAGTGGCTTCTCTGTTCCGTCGCACTAGCGGCGGCTCACGCCGGGACACAAGCACCAGGTCCCGGCGGGCCGCAGCTGACAGGACGCCGCGCATGCGCAGTAGGAGCCGCGGGCGCACCTCGGACGGCCAATGACAGCCCAGGGGAGCGTCCTGGACCGCCAATGACAGTGCAGGGCGCAATATTTAAAGATGCCCTGCACTGTCACAAATTGCTGCAAGGTCTATCTGTGATCCTGAGTTCCTGTACCTGCATATTGACCCTGATTACCCTGACTACTCTGCCTTCTCCTCTCCTGATCCCTGGCTTGTTTGACCTATCTGCGGACTGACTTATCCTGCTGACCCTGCGTGTGACCTGACTACTCTTTTTCCCTGCCAATTCTGTACCTCGCTTACCCCCACGGGACCGCTGCTCGTGACCCATCCTGCTAGGTCCCGCCGTCCTCCTTACATCTGGCTCTCCCGGTACCTATACATCCCCGGAGGTTCCCTCCGCCACTGGTGGGCCTGCTCAGAGGTCGTGACCTGGCCCTGGTCTGTTACAAGTCTATCCCCACCATCAGGGGCCCTGGTGAAAGCACAGACCGGGACTTAGACTCCACGCTTTGGGTAGGTCTGTCCAGTGGTCCGCCGGGGGCACCACCTGGCGGATCATAACAGCGGCGTCAGACCCCAGACCTTCTCACTAAACTCGTGACCGAAGGACTAGCCGATCTAAAACCGCGGTGTCACGTGCGTAACAATGCCACACCCAGCTGCACCCTGCACAACGATTTTCCAGCTAATTGGACCACAATCGATGTACCGGCAGCCTGTGCGATTGTTACTGGGTCAGGTTAATTATGCAATTAACCCTTCACACTGCCACCACCTCCTTTTTGTACAGAGAAAGAGTAAACTCGGCGATATCAGTTATAACACTATAATGGTTGAGGTAATCGTCTGTATAACACGGTTATACAGAGGGTTAAACAAACACAGTAGCGTTCTCTTTAGAGGCAGGAATTCGGTAAATTGCAATACAGAGCTATAGAAACAGTTCAACACTTTCAGAAGGAAAGATTTATTACTAAAAGGTCAAACGGATGCAATACAAATATTTACAGAAAAAGATGTAACTAAGATATATATATAAATATATACAGAGACCAACAGCACAGCAAAGAGATAACAGAGAGAGGTGAAAGGGCTAAGGTACTTGCCAAAGTCTTGGGTTAGCAGATCCAAGTTTCAGAGCGAAAGGGCACGGGTCTCCCCAGGTGGTACTGATGTTAAAAATGGGAGACATCTTCAACTTCTTTTTTCTCTTAGGCCTGACAGCCCAATTTGTAGTTCCCCAGCAGGGGGTGTCTCTGAAGTCAAGGACCAATACCCCGTTTAGGGCGTGGAGGTCTGGGTGTGGACCTAAACTAGAGGCAAAATCTTTGCTAACTCATATTTTGGCTCATAACTCTTCATATGCACCAGTGACACTCCACCCGCAGGTAGATTATTATGCAGACACGTCTGAGGATTGATTAGATATGAATTATGAAATTATACACTGAACGGTTCACAAGATCTACTTTTTGGCTTTCCTATGTATTCGAGACAAGGCGAGTGATCTATCAAATTGTTCGTCTTCTCTTAGCCAATCTGACGATATGTCTGGTTTTTATGTAAGTCTCTCATATTCCAAGATATGAGACATAGGGGAAAAATGGATTTTTAAAAGTGTTAGCTGGTCCCGCATTCCTTGGAATGTCTTGGACTCCGGGGAAAGCTTGCCTTATCTTATACGAGGTGTTACATTTTACAGGTTCTTCGGACAGCTAGGCCCCAGCTCCCTTGGGGACTTTATAGCTCCAAACCCCCTTCTGGGCCCTGGCCTCCTGTGACACTCCTAACACACATACACACTGGCCAAATGTCGCTGTGACTCTCAGAAAGGGAGGGGGAGAATGAGGGGGAAATATGTTTGACAGGATGGTTAACCCCTTTGCCAAGATGGAGGTTGAAGCCAAAATGGTTGAACAAGATGGTTACAACAAGAGCTTGGGAATTACTGGTAATATCTTAAGGAAAAAAAAATCTTTTACATTTTTAGTATGCCTTTCTTTCAATACCAGAAAATGTTCAAAAGGAAATTGAAAAAGTCATTGGTTCCAGAAAATCTCACCTGATACACCGAAAAGAAATGCCATATACTGATGCCGTTATCCATGAAATCCAAAGATTTGGTAATATTGCACCAACAAGTGTTCCACATGCTACTATACGAGATGTGACTTTCAATGGATTCTTTATACCCAAAGTAAGTATTACATTTTATCCTTTATTCATCATTAGAAATATACAATATGGTAGGCAGTTGTTGCCAACTGTTGAGCAACTCCATAGCTACAGAAGTCAAGTGTTACTCACATGGAATGAAAATCCTGGATTAAAAGGACCCAGACTTAGGGCTCGTTCACACTAGCCGATTCCAAAGTCGAGCGTTTTTCAGTGTGACTTTGGAGTCCGCTTTGATACAACTTTGATGTGACTTTGATACAACTTTTACACTCTCTGGCACTGAAGTCATAACAAAGTTGCATTAAAGTAGTGCAGGAGCCTTTTCTGAAGCCACAGCGACTTCAGTAGTGTCAATTGGAATGGCTCTCATAGAGATACATTGCATTTCAAATGTCCTGCGACTTTGGGTCTCACAAGTCAGATCCTAAGTCCCAGGAATGTGAGCCGAGCCTAAAGGAGAATTCCAAAATTGTTTATTATTTTTGTACAGCAGTGCAATTATTTCTCCAGCTTTAGTTACATAGCTTGTAAGGTTGAATAAAGACACCAGTCCATCCAGTTCATCATATATGTGTTTGTGTGTGTATGTGTTTATGGCACTACCATTTCACATTCCCTGTACATTACATTCACTAAGAAATACATCTAAGCCTAGGTTCAGACTGATGCGTTGAAACGTGGTGCAATTTTACTTGCAGTTTTGAGTGTGAGTGCAGTACGAATTTGTGGTGTTACTTGTGCTTTTCAGATGCGATTTTGACAGGCTATGGCGCTTAAAAAACACACAACACTGAATACACAGGACCCTTTTTTTAACCGCACCAGAATTGCACCACATCGATGTGAACAGCCTTCATGGGAAACTATGTATTTTCACTTGACATGCGCATCTATACATTCAGGAAGGCATCAGATCCGTATCAGATTCACATCAGCAAACTAGGGCAGTTTTTTTCAAATTTATCTACACTGCCTGCTGACACCACAGCTGTAGAATGGAATTCCACATCCTTACCACTCTAACAAGAACCCCTTACACAGTTTAAGGTTAAACTGTTTTTCACCCAACTTCACTGAGTGTCTGCATGTCTTCTTAAAAGGCCTAAGATTGAATTAGAATCACCATTTAGATACTTGTATATTGTGATCATATTTCCTCTCAAGCATTCTCAGAGATAATACGATTATTTTTTTGCAGAAGCTCCTCATAACTGAGGTCCTCCAGCCCTCCTATTAGCTTTGTTGCCCTTTTCTGGACTATCTCCAGCTCCAGTACATCCTTCTTGAGGATTGGTGACCAGAATTGGTTAGCATACTCCAGATATGGTTGAACAAAAGTTTTGTACAGTGGTAGAATTATAGTTTTATATTTATTATGCTAAATGTTTGCTAGCCTTGTTTGCTGCAGTTTGGCATTGCATTCAATTGCTGAGCCTGTGATTTAATAGGATCCCAAGAATCATTATCATCCCAATTCCCCCAGAGATGAGTAACTGGCATTCATATTTTTATCCCCCAAGTATGTCACTTTACATTTGTCAATAATAAACCACATTTGCCATGTAGCTGCACACCCTTTTTTGTTATCGAGGTCTTCTTGTAAAGTTTCTATATCTCGATGTGAAGTTATTGCCATGCTTAGCTATGTATCATCAGCAGACACTGAGATCGAGCTATTCATACCAACCTCTATATCATTTGTTAACAAATTAAACAGAATTGGTCCCTTGACAGAGCCTTTGGATACTCTACTTGAAACTCCAGACCATTTAGAAAATACACTATTTATCACCACTCTCTGGACACGCTTCTGTAACCAGTTTTCTATCCAGGTACATACACTATTGCCAACAGGTACATATAATATTGTCAATTATTATTATTATTATACAGTATTTATAAAGCGCCAATAGTTCGTTCAGTGCTGTACATTACAAAGGGGGACAGAACATGTGACAGAACAATACCAATACAATGCAAAACATGAGGGGATTGAGGGCCCTGCTCTTTCGAGCTTAAAATCTAGGAGGGAGGGGATGGTGGCACAGGAGGAGATAGCTGTGGGGGATGGAGTGGTAGGAAGAGTGGAGGAGGTCAGCAAGTTAGCAGGGGGTGGGGTGGGGTCAATGCCTACTGACTTCAATTTGTAAATTAAGTGTTTAAGTGGTTCTCTTTCAAATAAACATATTGAAATGAATCTGCGCTGTGAGAAGACATGTTGGCGCTGGCAAACAAAGCTTGATATACCCAAGCCTAGAGACTTATAATATCTTGAAATGATGCAGCGCCAGTGAATATATAAACCAGTGAATATATAAAAATTTTTTATAAATAAACAGTGTTCAATGTGTCAAACATGAATTCTCCCTTCCACAATCCAGCAAATCCTTGTAGTGTAACGGAAACATAGAGTTCCACCACCTTAATAGAATGTACACTCTCCAAACCATAAGCTGTAACATGTACAGCAGACACAGCATGTTTCTCAGGCACAAATCCTCCCTAGGTGTTTGCACTTCCACTCTGGAATCACTCCTTTTAGTCAGCAGCAAAAGCCAACTCCCACTGGAACAGATAGAGCTCACCAAGGAGCCAACAGAAAGCCAGTGACAGTGTAGTACAGTGGTCTCCAAACTGCGGCTCGGGGGCCAAATGCGGCCCTTTGCTTGCTTTTATCTGGCCCTTGGGGCACTATTTCATTCACTGATACCAACAATGAGGCATAATTCCCCTACTGACACCAACTAAGGGGCACAATTCTTCCCAATGACACCAACAATGGAGCACAATTCCTCCCAAGGACACCAACTATGGGGCACAATTCCTCCCAATGACATCAAAGACGGGGACACAGTTCCTCCCACTGAACCATCAATGGGTTGCAATTCTTCCAACTGACACCAAAAATGGGGCGCTACCCTCTCACCAACACCAAAGATAGGGCTTTGTCTATTCTCACTGACATTGGGATGTTTTCTACTTCCATTGGGCACAGTTCGGCCCCCCTAAAGTCTGAAGGACAGTAAACTGGCCCTTTGTTTAGAAATTTTGGAGACCTCTGGTGTAGTAGCTTAAAAGGTTTAATATAGAACAGCACAAGTCATCCAGTTAAAACAACAAGAGTGACAGTGAAAAACCTCACTAATAAAGCTACTGACAACCCGAAATTGTGCAGTGGTGTGACATCAGCACTGAGACTCTGCCCCCAAGTGGGCAGACATCAGAATTAAATAGCTGGCAAAGCAGGTTGGTTATCCACGTTGTGTCTTTAATTTAGTCTATGGGGCTGAACGAAAGCAAGCTTAACATATATGGCCAGTTAACATATAATTCGTCCAAATGTCTCTCCCATCTATTGTTTGCAGGGAACTCAAGTGATTCCATTACTGTATTCTGTCCTAAGAGACAAAGAGCACTTTGAGAAGCCGGAAGAGTTTTACCCTCAGCATTTTCTGGACTCAGAAGGAAACTTTGTTAAAAATGAAGCTTTTATACCATTTTCTGCTGGTGAGTAAACCAAAGGAGGAAAACTCTAAACTGTCACAAATGTATCAAGAGTACCTCTATGACTGTGACCAAAATAGGGCAGACTAAGTCTGCAGAGGGCACAAATGCAAAGATTACAAATCTGGCCACCATTAGTCATTTAACACTGTTCAGTTCTCTGAGATGGAAAGGTGGACAAGTTAGAGGGCAAAAATGTAAAAGGTCAATTTGCCTAAAATTGATAGTTTACATTGCATTGAGGACATGGATCTTGAATACTCCACTAGTGAGATCTCACTTACAGAATTCCCCATTGCCCTCCTCATAGTTTTGCATTTTCTATTCTGTGTTATGGCTGCAGGTTTGCTGATTTCTGTTGCATTGGATATTAATCTTAAATGTGCCATACTTTCACATCTGCTTGTCTGTGGGGGACATGAACATAAAAGATTGTTCTACGAGTTACGTATACTATGTGCACATTTGTACAAGTGTTGAAGCTCTGCAACCACAAACAAGATTGCCCATGCAAGGAACACACAGAAAGATGTCTGTCTTACAGCTGTATAAGTCAATATTCCTCCTTAGTCATTATTTTTAGAACAATAATATACTCTATTTCTTTTTCAAGGTAAGAGAAGTTGTGCTGGAGAAACACTGGCTAAAATGGAACTGTTCCTCTTCTTTACAACACTGCTGCAAAACTTCACCTTTCAGGCTCCGCCTGGAGCAAAACTGGACCTCACAGGCGCTGCTGGATTAACAACCCCTCCACTGAAGTATGAGATCTGTGCAATTCCTCGTAATTAAAACAAACCGGCAGTAAACATATGAACAATAATTGTGGACTGGGTTTAATCTGTTTTGAAAGTTTTTGATCTGTAGAAATGTAGTTGAATGTTGCTATATGGAGACAAAAGGCACCTCCAAATTGATGAAAATTGGATATTTCTAGGAAAATGTAAAAATCTGAAATAAATGAACAATGAAGGCGAACAATTATTATTATTATTATACAGTATTTATAAAGCGCCAATAGTTCACTCAGCGCTGTACATTACAAAGGGGGACAGAACAATACCAATACAATGCAAAACATGAGGGGATCGAGGGCCCTGCTCTTTCGAGCTTACAATCTAGGAGGGAGGGGATAGTGGTACAGGAGGAGATAGCTGTGGGGGATGGAGTGTTAGGAAGAGTGGAGGAGGTCGGCAAGTTAGCAGGGGGTGGGGTAGGCTTCCCTGAAGAGATGGGTTTTCAGGGTGCGCCTAAAGGAGAGGAGAGTAGGTGATAATCTGATGGGTTGGGGCAGGGATTTCCAGAGGATGGGTGACACCCTGGAGAAGTCCTGGAGGCGGGCATGGGAGGAGGAGACCAGGGAACTAGAGAGAAGGAGGTCTTGTGAGGAGCGGAGTGTGCGTGCTGGGCGGTACTTGGATATTAGGTCAGTGATGTAGTTCGGGGCAGAACAATGACTAAATATGGTACAGGCTGACTGAATCAGTACAAGAATTGAATTCTGGACAGAATGTATCCGTAGGAATCGCTGATGGTCACCTATTTCTATACATTGTGACATGTCAGAAATGTAACTGCAGACTTTGCAAAGTAGTAGGTCTGCTGTAAAAAGAAGAATCCTCTCAAGTATGCAAAAACCTAGTAAAAAGCAGCTCAACAGCTATGTAGTTAGCATTTTTGCCTAGCTTTTGTTGCCATCCCAGGATGTTAGCATCCTCATGTCCTTCTTTTCTATTCTACCCCAATCTTATAGTTCTTGTCCAGACAGCTTTCAGCACTGTTGTACTTTGAATGACAAATGCAGTCAAGCAACACTGTACCCATATGAAATTTGTATAATTTTTTTTTACACAAATAGAGCTATATTTTGGTGATATTTAATCACCGCTGGGTTTTTAATTTTTTACTAAATTTTTTTTTGCTAAATAAACGAAAAAATAAATACAATTTTCTGAAAAAAAAACTTATTTTTGTTCATCTGTAATAACATTTTGTAAATAAATAATTGTTCTTCATAAATTTAGGCCAAAATATATTCTACATTTCTTTGGTGAAAATAACTCAAATCAGTGTACAGTGCCTTGAAACAGTATTCATCAGCCTTGAAATTTTCCACATTTTGTCATGTTACAACCAAAAGCGTAAATGTATTTTATTGGAATTTTATGTGATAGACCAACACAAAGTGGCACATAATTGTGAAGTGGAAGGAAAATGATACATCGTTTTCAACATTTTTTACAAATAAATATGTGAAAAGTGTGGTGTGCATTTATATTCAGCCCCCTTTACTCTGATGCCTCTAACTAAAATCTAGTGAAACTAATTGCCTTCAGAAGTCACCTAATTAGTAAATTGAGTCCATCTGTGTGTAATGTAATCTCAGCTGTTCTGTGAAGCCCTCAGAGATTTGTTAGAGAATATTAGTGAACAAACAGCATCATGAACGCCAAGGAACACAGACAGGTCAGGAATAAAGTTGTGGAGAAGTTTAAAGCAGGGTTAGGTTATAAAAAAAATATCCCAAGCTTTGAACATTTCATGGAGCACTGTTCAATCCATCATCTGAAAATGGAAAGAGTATGGCATAACTGCAAACCAACCAAGACATGGCTGTCCACCTAAACTGATAGGCCGGGTAAGGAGAGGAATGGTTGGTTTAGATAAAAGCATATTCATGTGTTAGAATGGCCCAGTCAAAGCCCAAACTTAAGTCCGATTGAGAATCTGTGGCAAGACTTGACAATTGCTGTTCACAGATGCTCTCCATCCAATCTGACAGAGCTTGGGCTATTTTGCACAGAAGAATGGGCAGAAATGTCCCTCTCTAGATGTGCAAAGCTGGTAGAGACATCCCCAAAAAGACTTGCAGCTGTAATTGCAGTGAAAGGGGGTCCTACAAAGTATTGACTCCGGGGGGCTGAATACAAATGCACTCCACACTTTTCACAGATTATGAATACTTTTTCAAGGCACTGCATATTATTTAGTCTGTAGGAAAGTTTTAAAGTCTACAAACTACAGTATGGTATACAGTACGTCTCAAATCGATGAATCCTGATATACTGATGGTCTAGCTCATTTCCTGATGCCCAAAATTGTCAGATCAGAGCAGATATCCCCAGAGGCGTCCCTAGGGTTGGTGTCACCCGGTGCGGTAACACTTGGTGACACCCCCTCAGATGATCCCCGCAGAATGGATCGGATCTGCGGATTGCACATAATGGATCAGACTCCGATCCATTATGCTCAATCTGCAGATCCGATCCATCCTGCGAGGATCGTCGGCTTGCTTTACAACTTACCTTTTTCGTGGAGCGGATCCGGTGTCACCCCGTGCAGTCGGTGTCACCCAGTGTGGGCCACGCTCCCCGCACCTGCCTCGGGACGCCACTGGATATCCCCCAAATTAATTTTTTTATAGTAGACAGTCCAAGGTATTTGGAAAGAGGAATGGTGAGTTTTTTTAAATTGTGTTTTTATCACAATTTTTTGAAAAATAAAGAAATTAAAAATAAAAAATCACATTTTTTTTTCTTTTATATACTGTCACCAGTTTCATCATATAACTCATCATATATAATTAATATTTTTTTTTTTCACTAATAATATGGTCACTGACCATATTTTGGCAATGTCATTGACAAACTATGGCCAAGGACATGCTGTATGTGGAGAATTATGTCACTACAGTCATTTCCCTTATATGCCAGATGACAGCTTGAGGAGCTGTCATTCTGTAAGCAGTACCATCAGGGTTGGTTGTGTGCACAAGGTCCATCAGAATTTTCATTTTGGTGAGTTCGTGGGCAATGGGCATCTTGATTTTATAACAAGGGACATTTTTTGAAGATTTTTTTTTTTAATAAAGGACTTAATAAACATTTTAATATCTTTATTTCAAGGATACTTTTTTGTGTAAATGAGTGAGGGTACTATGTACCCCTTGCTCATTCACGTCAGAAGTGATTTCTGTGGATCTCCATAACCACCAGACCAGGGTTGTGGGGAAGAGACCATGTTCCTCATTAATATGGGGACAAGGTGTTTTGCCAGGAGCGCCCCTATTTTTTGACAGTCCTTTGTCTGTTAGCCAAGAAAATGGGCATTTTTGATTTGACATATTTGAATCCCGTTGATTTTAATAGGAGAGATATTAAAGATAGACACCTTTTAGCACAAAGTGTGTAGGCAAAGAACACGCTCTTGTCATGCCCCCAGCTACATGACCTAAAAACAATTATTACATGAAACGAATGGTTAAATCCATAAAGGCTTTTTGCACCACTGTTTTTCTACCACATTTCAAACTAACAAATGCATTATTATAAATATTGGTTTTGCTATGTTTAATGAAGGTCTATATTTCAAACCAGCAGTCCCCAACCTCCCCGGCGTCAGAGACTGGCCTCAAGGAAGACAGCACCTCCATGGCCCAGGAGGGGGTGGTGTTGGGGGTGCAACCTTTTATTTCGGGGGGCTGGCTTTGGGGCTGCAGCCTGTCACATTGGAAGTTTGGGGTTGCAGCCTTTTAACTTGGGAGCATGTTGGGGGTGCACCTTTCACCTCGGGGGGTGCAGCCTGTCACCTGATGACAGCTCAGTTTGAAAGAGGGTGGCAGTGCAGGTTGCGCTGGTTTGCTTGACAGCTGCCCACCTCCAACCACATGGCCTGGCCCCCAGCAGACCACAGATCGGTACCAGTCTGCATCCCATGGGTTGGGGCCCCATCATCAGACCACAAAGATGGACAACTAAGGCGAAAAGAGGGATTTGGTTCCAAAAAAAAGAGACAGTAATTGCAAATTAGGAATACCATTGTAGTTGGAAGTTATAGTTATGGAAATAATTATTCATACTACATACTCATTGAATCAAAAAGTGTTAGAAGCCTTCAAATATTCCATTTAATAACATTGTATATCATAAGTGTCTTGTTTATAGGAGGTACATGACAATGACAAATGACCCCACAAATCCTAATTCCATTTTTTTTATTTTTGGGCAGAGTGATGAAGAGATAACCTTTCTGCCAGGTTTATTTCTTTGTCTAAGCCCATAGGGGAGATTTCATTCCTTTTTCTGTCCCCATGACACCTGTACAAAAATATAGCAGGTGTGGGAATCACCAATACAGTGATGCCTGGACAGCAATAAGAACATTGTCTGAGGTCTCAGTCATTCCCCATCTTAGTAAAACTTTTTATCTATGTCCCCATTGCAGGAATTTTCCATCACCTCCTATGTTGGGCCTTTAGTTTGGAAAACACTAATAATGTAGGTTGCTAGAAGATTTCCAACCGTCACTTAAATTTATTATCTGTATCCTGATTGCAGCTTGGATATCATGTAGTTTTAGAGAGGTATTGTATTTCTGTGTTCAGCCTCTTGTACTATTGGGTCACCATACAAACTCCAGGCAAGCCGTGGGTACAGTTACACCCTTGTTTATAAATTCTATAGCATGTACTGCATACAGATTATGCGTCATGGTATACCTTGCTGTGTATTGATTTGAAAGGCTTGTGGTTTTAGACATATTTGTACAGCTTTCAAGTGACATAAGTTATTTGCAAACCATTGCATAATGCGTTCTACTTTTTTGTAATACATGTTGACAAGGCTACCCTAAATTGAGAGCCTTAGCTGCACAGTAAGTTATATAAAAGCAATCCAAAGTGCATTGTCCATTACTTTGTCTGAAAACTGAGTGAGAACAAGGACTGCTATACTATCCTTATGTAAAAGGTAAGAAGTAGACGGGAAACAAGGCATTTAGTTTGTATGATAAAA